TACAGATATACGTTATAACCTGACAATAACTAGCCATTCTTCTGAACTAACCTTGTAGTTTTACTGAAGTGTGCTTCACAAGTTGGAGATAAATATGCTCCTGTTCGTCTTGTTAAAACTTTCAATGTTTTCTTTATGTAATGTTAAGCAGGATAATAATTTTTATGTAAAAAATTATGAACTGCTTCATCTCAATGCACCACTGATCTATTTTATGTACTTTAAGGTTGCTTAATACTTTCTCCTTACCATCATTGTACCTATGGGGCAGTAATTATCAGAGCAGAAGTAATGGTGCAGAATGCAGGTTATGAAAGAGATACCAACTAAAAATGCAGCATTTTAGTAGCTTGATTGTTGTAGGTGTCAAAGAATTTCTATCATTTTTAAGATAGTGTTTAAAACAGGAGTAATAGTTGCTCATCCTGTATTGATACTTGTTATTTTAGTCCCTATTTTGGTTGCAGTGTTAATTCCCTACTTATTTCCATTCCTTTTTATATTGATTGAGATGCCTTTGACTTACAACTTAATGCGCATCATTATGCAAGTCTGAATTAAACCCATACTTAAGTTGCAAAGGCAGATTTTTCTAAAACCATATTTTGCTACCTGAAAATAAACGTATTGTCATTTAAAGCAATTTTAAAATTTATCTGCCTACTAAATAAATATAGATGGCAAATATCCATGACCTTAAATTAATAGTGATTATTCAAATTCCACTCGTTGTATGATATGCTACGATCAAAGCTCTTATACTTTGTTTAACTCTTGAGCTATTATTGCTATCTGCGATTGAATTTCATAATTTTATTCTGGCTATTTCTTCAACATAATCGTCATATGCTTACAATTAGTGCATCTGAGCTTCTTCATATTAGTCTTAAGGTTAACTTGAGGTATCAGAATTTCACTTGCAATAGCATCGGACCAACGTTTTAATAGCCATTATTGGCAAGAAGAAATTCCTCAACAATTCCAACTTGAAATCAAAATGGGCGTGGGATGGGTTTAGAAATATTTATTCCAGGTATGCTTAAAATTATTGCAAACTAGATATCATTCTCTCTAATTCTTATCTTTAATATATAAGCCTTAATTTAAGAAATATTGTATTAATATAAGGGCATTTATTAGATCTTTCAGCTGAATTTAGTCTTACTCACACTTGATTTTCAATTCTTTAGCTAATTTCCATTGAGTCATTGAAGGGATCCTCTGTTAACTAGATAGGAGGTGGATTTTATTAGTCAACTATGATTTATCTCACTAGTTCTTAATTCTATCTATCTAGGATTTTCTTCTTAGCCTTTTTGTAAGTGGTTATTAAATTTTTAATGATATATTAATCGTCCACTCTACAAATGCCCACCATACTGAGAAGTTGATTTGTAATATCAAGAGAATTTACATGTTCCTCATTATCAATTACTTTGGCTTAGTAGAACTCTTAGTGTAAGTTCATAATTCCTTCGGTACTGATAACTTCTCTCTAAGCTGATTTATATTTTCTAAATCTCTTGCAATCATTTCACTGCTTAAACAAGTTCGAATTCTTTTGTCGATTTGATACTCAAATTCATCTAAGTCAAGAGTTATGCTTTAATATCTATCCCACTGGCTTTATAATCGATCAATCTATCCTCTCAGTAAACTTAGTACGATGAAATCTCATTCCACCTCAGTGATAAATGCATTTCTATTTACAGATTAATAATATGGAATTAAAGGCCTCTCTTCATTATCGAAAAGTTTTTCAGTTAATTTTGACTAATTCTATCTCATTTATATTATGAATATTATTATTTTTTCTAGTTACTTTTAGAATAAAATAATTGTCTAAACGCATTACTTAGTTATTTAATTTTTAAGTATATTTTATTCCAGGCATTTTAATTGATCATTTTTGTTAAAAATATTCATATGCCCCCTAAAATAATAAAATGTTTAATGCAAAGGAATTTATCATCAATCTGTCATGTCCGAAGTTTGGCATGTTAATATCCTTCACTTATTAAACTAATAAAAACTTAGGTCATTAAGAGTCATTGATCTTTTGAATCCATCTTGGATAAGTGAATTCTACAGTCGCGCTCAGTCTCTTTTTGAACCAAATTGTAAGAGGGCATTTAATTTGATGCAGGAGATACTCCTTGAGATAAGTCATAAAGGAGGAGAAATCATGCTGTCACTCCTAATTACAAGTTGTATAGTCTGAATTCAAAGCAGAAGATTCACTAAAGTGGAAACTAGAATCCTGAAAAATTTCATTAAATTTTTTCATCAAAGGTTTTTTTTAATTCAAAACTATCATTCAAGGAATAAAGTCCTTGCCAAAAATTATGGAAGTTATGGTATAAATACTGTGTCTTATTTCATCTTCTTTTAGTAGCTTACATCAAAGATTCTAAATTCAAAGACTGTTATTAGGTAATTAATTTATGGTGTAGAGTTAGTTGCAATATGTGAATTTGACTGCTAGATTTATAGGCAAAAATTATTTAAGAGAGAAGTTAATTTGTTTACTTTTAGTTAACAAGAAATTGATGAAGGTTGTGAAAATGCCATTTATAAAGAGAAGGACAAAAAAGTGCAGAATACATTATATTGGATCTTGTTTCTAATAATCATGCTTTACTGCTCTTTAAATCTAGATAACTATGGATAAGCTCAAATTACTTTAAGAAATGTACTTTAATAAAAAATATATTATGGAATTTGTTATCAAAAGTGAGTAATCTCCTCTTATTAAGGAATATTGGTAATAAAATTTTTTATCAAAAGCATACACGAAATCACTTAAAGTGCAGCCAGTGATGTAATATACGACGTTAAGGTAATTTATAGTGATCGTAATTATATTTAATACGTGTTAAAATTGAATATCTTTTTAGTTTTCAGAACAACTGAAGTATGAGTTAACAAAATTTCAATGCTTAAGGAGGAATCCTATGGTTAATATCTGCCTTGAATAAATATTAATATTGAAATTGGAATACTGAAAGTAAAAAAAATATGGAAAGGTGCTTGTGCTAATATTAGCAAGAAGACGACGGATTCTCATCTCATATTAAAGATCTATATATGGTTAATGTAGATTCAACCAAATTAATTTATTAGATTATACCTAATCTAGATAAGCCGTTTAATGTAAAAAAAGATAAAAATGGTGCTAAATAAACATGAAATTTTAGTAAAGCCTAAAAATACAAACAAATCGGGCTTAATAATTTACCTATGGACTGAAAGTCTGGTTGGAACTAATTATTAATATTTAAATTTTACTCTTGGGAGGCAAGAATTAATGTAAATGGAATATTGATACAAATCCATCAACTTGCTATAATAATGAAATATTGAATTGCTTTGAAAAAGTGGGAAAATATCTTGCAGAGGTTATAATAATAGTACAGAGTGATCAGTAAATGAGGCTAGAATTTAAAATTAAAAGAATTCGTAGTAGAGGGAAGATCCTCAGGTGAAGGAAGGTATTTATTTTACCTTAAAAATACTTGGATTTCAACTGTCAACTGCACTTATTATGGCAAAACCCTAAGAAGAATAATTTTACATAAAAACACCCTCAAATTAATATGTTATGGTTTTGACCTAAACTCAACTAAAATAACAATAGTCACCTATTTTGGGGAAGCTTGATATGTATACATAGTTGTTAAATATGCATGATAGTAATAAAGCTAGCGCAATATTTTATTCCATAACATTAGAAAGATGATGAAATTATTTCCAAAGCCAATTCTGCAACATCATTACAAGTTGTAATAACAAGATTATTAACATAATTTAATTCTTTATCCTAGTATTAAGTACGTTAGCTAAGTTTTAGTATACAATTTAACATATTAAGGATATTTTCCTAATTAATTAGAAATTACTATACAAAGAAAATTTGCAGAGGATTTGATGATAGCGAAAGCAGAATCATATGCATAAGCAAAGCTATTGGCATTAATAGATTATGAAGCTTTATTTTCTTAGCGTTGTTTTTAGCAAACCTAGAAACTAACATATTCTACTTTAGTTTCATTAACTAATTAAATTTCATATTGAAACCATAGCGAAGTCCATTGAAAATCTTGAGAATTTAAGTTCAAGAAATGAGGCTCCCATACTTAAAATGCAGCCGATTATAAAGCTTACCTGCAACACTTTAATTCTTTTGTTACAGGTTTCTTAAATTTGAATTAGGTCTTTATAAACTTAGACATAGTTTGTATCCTAAATAAAATTGAATCTTAGTTTTTAATATCTTCATAATGAATCCTTTTAAATTGAGGCCTTAAGTGTCAAGAGTGAAGTAATAGGTTATTATTGACACTTATTGTCATAATCATCAAATACTATTATGGTTTAACTGAGTATAAAAATCTTTTGAATTTACTGAAGATAAACACTACCCTAATATTAGAATTTTGAGGAACCTTCCTTTTATGGTTATTCTAGAAAGAGATCATACTTTTAAAAAGAAAAACTAATAGAGATTAGGCTGGCTTTCTTATCAAAATGGTTTTCTTTTATTTTTAAAAGTTATGTATGAAAAAGGAGTTTAAAAATATTTTGGTCAACTTTTAAATTAACTAAAAGAAGTTTCAAAATGGTTGAATTGATTTCTTATTGAAAATTCATCTTATTAAAAAAGGATCTATACTTGATTGTTAATATAATTTAGATTATAAATAAAATTTATTGAGAAAATTTGTTTTTTTGATATGAATAATTTCAATAGCATTTGAAAACTTATAAAATATATCCATCCAGTTGGCCAAGATTCAAACTGTCCAACTTTGGATAAAATTTGTTGTTTTCAAAACTGCTATCCGAGTTAGAACTAGAAAAATTTGGAATGGCAGTAAGAATAATCAAATCTAGTAAATTATGGATTATAATATATCAAAACATGTGAAATAGAACTAGGAAAAGGAAGGTTTAATTAAGTTAATATTGATTTTGTGATTTGATATTTTTAATATAACGTTGTTTCATAACTGTTGTAGTTATTTTTGTATATAATCCTTCCGAGTTGAACCATATTATAATGCATCCAAATAATATTGTTTAGCCTCTTATTTATTCCCCAATTCAAATAGAGAATCAGCTTAAAAAATAAGGCAAATTGGTGTACCTTTTCGTAATAAATTAAGAGGAGTTATGCTAACAGATAGGGCTTAATCATAACATATGATAGCATTCTTATATTTCTTTAACTTATGTAGTGTAAGGCCTTATTTATAAAATAATTTACCTTTATTACTCAAAGCTGAATCATGTTTTGGATTAATGGTAATAGCTTTGTCATAGCATTCAATTGCTTCTTAATATTTATTTAATTTGTTTAAAGCAATACCTAATTAATAATGTCTAACAGTTAATTACCTTTATTATACTAAACTTTATCATCTTTTGGATTAATGGTAATAGATTTGTCATAGCATTCAATTGCTTCTTAATATTTATTTAATTTGTTTAAAGCATTACCTAATTAATAATGTCTAACAGTTAATTACCCTTATAATACCAAACTGCATCATTTTACGGATTAATGGTAATAGCTATGTCATAGCATTCAATTGCTTCTTAATATTTATTTAAATTGTATAAAGCAAAACCTAAGATCAAATAAAATTAATGATACCTTCAGTTACTAATATTTCAGCCTCTTTTGTATTCAACTACTTATGAGATTCAATTTTCTGATTAATTTCTACTATTTTAATATCATTTAAATGACAAGAATTAAATGAACCATCTTCTTGAGTTAAATCTGATAGAATATTCTTTATTGTATTATTAATGTTATTCAATTATAGTATTTGTTTTTCTATTATTAATAATTATAACATACATTTGTAATTTTCGTTTTCCTTAGAGTAAAACTACTTGAGTATATGAATTTATGACTTAAATGTTAAATAGTCTTTATTTTATAGATATCGGGCCATATTTTCTAATACTTTAATTTCCTAATCCATTTTTTTAAAAATCTATTCAAATAGATTGTCTAGTTGTTTAGAGATTTCTTTGAATTATTTCTTTAATTAATTGTAAACTTGCATGGATTTATTCATAATTTAATTCATTTCTGTGAATCGGATACAATCATTAAAATGTTCTGAATGAGTAGTATTTAAACATTTATAACAATATTGTGTTGTATTCTAACAATTCTGATTTAAACAAAATCCCATAATTTCTTCATTTTCATGTTTTAGATATTTACATTTAAAGATATCCATTAAAATCCAAAACCAAATATAATATTTATTATTTATCATATTCTAATATCACAAACTTATAATACGATATTTAATCAAACTTAATTTGAATGATTGTATAATTATTAAACCAAGATAAATCTTTTGGTTTATTGTATTATTTAACAATCATTATCTATCTTTAATTGAAAATTAAAACTATGGATATCCTTTTGACTTTAAGTAGTTCTATTTGTTTGTGGTACGATCTTTGAGTAGCTATTCTTTTGACAAATAAAGTACATCTAAGGTGCTCTTTGACAGCCATTATTGATGTAATCGTATTATCTTATGCAGCCCACTTGTTCATGACTCTGTATAAAGAATGTATTTAAGCCAGCATTCAGAAAAAAATGAAGGTAACAGCAATGCTTGCCTCATTAAGAAAAAATTTTTCTGATGATAGTTATTATTAAGAATCTCATTTTAGAATTAGAGCATCAGAATTTTGAATTCTTCATAATTCAGATTATCTCCAAATACATCCAGTTTTGGTGAGAATATTTTGATTTAAATTTCACTTTTCTTATTCTATCCATTCATTTTTATAAAAC